CACAGTTAGACGCATGAAGGACGATGTGCGGAGCCACAAGGGGCACGAGTCGCGCTGGTCTGTGAGCTGAGACACACGCCCGACCACTCGTTCAACGATGACAGAACTTAAAACTTTTTTCTATAAAATGATCAATCGCTTCACATCTGAATATCTTCCCCACCTAATACCTGGAAATGTCTCTGCTAACAGTAGCTATAGATTGAGAGACAATTTACAGACTATGAGATATATAAGTGATATCGTGTTATGAATAAAGACACTCCGTGGTAACACTTGACTGTTAGTTTTGTCATTATTTGGTGCACATTGGACACATCTCTTCTTAACGTACATACTTCTCTATATGTTTATATGGTTCGCGTTTCTTCTGGCGGTGAGTATACATACATACATACATACATACATACATACATACAGACATACAGACATACAGACATACATACATACAGACATACATACATACATACATACATACAGACATACAGACATACATACATACATACATACATACATACAGACATACAGACAGATGCACGTGTGTGTGTGTGGCTGCTTGTACTAGTCCGGACTGATGCCGACTTATAGTGCAAGCCAACTGTAATACCATGCAGCAGTTTAAACTGAATATCCCACTCAGACAAAGTATACCGACCCTGAGCCGACATGTCCTTATTTTAGATCCTTAATGCCGAGCTCGAGGCAAGGTAACAACAAGTACCATATTTGAACATCTTTTGGTATGACGCGGCCGGGAATCGAATCCCGGACCTTCCGCTCTCCGGGCGGTCGGTCTACCACTAGACCACGGAGGCGGTCATCTGTAGGTCATGACCACTTGCTTCTGTAAAGCGTATTCAGTTTATCTTCATTATATTTTATTTTGCATATTACCTTCATGAATATAACTAGAGAGGTATTAACATAAGCCTCTCTGGGTTGTTTATCAATCCAGATTCATTGAATAAAAATATGTTTAAATAATATAAGATCCAAATTCTTGAACGCGACGATAACGCGATTTCAGCACACCTTATTGTGACGCCATTCACGTGTTTATCTTCACCCACATTTGTGTCATATTTTATATAAATATGGCTAGGAATGGATCCTGTTTTGGTACAGTGTAATTTGATAACAAACTGTTTAGCTGAACACCGTGATCGTGCAGATCACACACGAAGCGTTATCACAAATATGACACATGCCCAGTCCAAATGCTTGCACGAAAATATTCACAAACACAACACTCGAACATCCGCTTATTTGCACCAGTGTCAAAACATCAACAGGAAAGATTGAGACACACCGAGAACAGACGCGCCTATAGTTGTTGACATCCCCTACCCCTACTCACCTCATTTACATGGATGACCTTGAACGTATTGCCAAATGAGACCTTTGAATTACGAATCCGGTGCTGGCTTATTTTCCGTTATTCGAAAAACGAATAACGAATAACGAACCCGCTGCTAACTTCAGGCCCCTGTCAGACAATAGATCCCACAACCCTCGCTCTTCCCACAATCTCTTACCTTTACCAATCATAATGGGAGGGCGTGGTTTGATTAACGCGGAGGCTCTTCACGATAGACTTGTTTTGTGCACTTTTGCACACTTCTTTTGTTTCATGATCCTCTTGTGAAGCATGTCAAGACTCATGATGAAAACAAGACATTCCACAGTTTCCTTAAACGAGCCAAGGATGTTTGACATAATAATCTCACTGTCACTGTTGATTTTGTTGATTGTTCTGTTGACGGATGTTTATTTCCGTCTTTGCCATGCTTATGGTTTTGTCACCGAGGTCCATCCATGGTACGACCCAGAATATGTAGAGGGCGTCATGGAAAATGATAAATACAAAATTCTTTGGGTTTGGCCCGTATACAGCCTCAGACCTATCCAGGCCAACAAACCTCGGCTTGTCCCGTTTTGTTAAATCCAATGAAATCATTTATTCTATTGAATTTTCTGTCCCTTTTGACACTAATGTGATTCAGGAAAAACATGGCAAATATCCGGACCTCGATTTCGAAATGCCACGAAGACATCCCAAGTACCAAGTTGTTCGAATCCCCATTGTTTTCGGTGCCTTGGGTTTGGTACCTCCCAATCTGTTGACTGACATTTGGAGAGTACGAGGGTTCGCTACCAGGAATACAACCTTTCTGACAATCAGTGTTATGCAGAAGGCTGCAGTGTTGGGGAGTCGTCACATTCTCCGAAAAATTCTGGTCGGGTCCGACAAGGCAGCGCTTCCTGTGAGAAGTCCCATTCGCTGTCTGGGCTGCGTGTAGAGGGGGCAAGTGCCCTGAGCTGATGATGAGCATAACTAGCCTGAAAGTGCCAGGATCACCCAAACCCTCTTTGCTGCATTTATGTATTTTATATAATAATAATATAAAGCGACAAAACTCTTTCCATATCCAATGGAAATCTCTGCATGAAGTAGTACAATTACGACTATATTATGAGCATGTGTTTATGAATCACTATCAAATAGTGATGAAACCAGGGGTTCTCGGAAAATTGAGCGTATCCTGCCCCACCCATGGCACCCATCACAAACACATGCAAAGGATAGTCAATTCGTCACCTGAAAAACACAGAAACACATGCTACAAGTCAAAATAGGTAAATGCATCGGACATCATTTTGTCACTGATGCGTTAAATTTGGAAATGTCCTTCACATGTCGTTTTTGCCACAAAACGTTTTGAAAGCTTTTATTGAGGCCTTGAATGTTGTAACCTTGATCAAACAACTTCTGAGCAACTGTCGTATGAAGCTCTTTGAAATCTTGGTAGGAAGAACATGCCCGATTGTATTTCAAAAGTTGTGAAGTTGTAAACATCAAAGGCTGAAACTGCTGGAATAATGCTCGACGTGAAGGGAAAGTTGACTTTTGGAAAGTTGAAGTCATCCCTCTTGTCATACAGTGTTGGTGAGAGTGTTTTGTCACTCTGGATCTTTATGCAAAAACCTAAACATGAAACAGATGAGGCGGTCTCACTGTTCGCCTACATTTCTAGCTCAGGTGGGTTAATCAGTGGAAGGGAATTGGCTATTTGATTGTTATTAAACGATATCAGATTTTCAGTATACCTGCAGCTTAAGTTAAACTTCTTAGCCAAATAACCTTGGACTTTGCCAATCCGAGCAGAGATTCCGATTTATATTCATAAAGAAACAGATCAGCAAGAGCTGGAGCACAATTGATGCCTACTTTAAGAGATGCCTATCAAACAATTCAGCTGTATCAAGGCATCAAGCGGTTACAGATATATTACAGGGGGGGGGGGGGGGGGCTGTATTAAGGCATTACAGCTATTTGTATATTACATGGTAATTAGCTGTATTAAGACACCAGGCGGTTACAGCTATGTTACATAGGTGGTCAGCTATATTAAGCTGTTCAGGAGCCCCTCACGCAAAGCAATCTTAGCGCTCTAACTGTCGTAAATGTAAAAGGTCAACGCCAGAGAATCACCAGTCGCCAGTATCCATTCCATTGAGGCGTTCCAACATATTCCATTGGGCGTAAAACGGCGGTGTACATTTCCGGAATGGATCCAAGAAAAAACAGTGATGACGCCGTGCAAGTGTTCGCGAAAAGAGTGAGCATGTCTCGCCCGACCTGTAACATCCGCCACTCACACTCTTTGCATAAAAAATAAAGTGTTTGTTTGTTGTCTGATATCGTACAACAGTATGCCATGCGACGACGGCCTGTAAACAAACAAGACATGTTAACGCTTAAGTCATCTTTACGCTAAGAACGCTTTGTGGAAGGTGGCACACACACACACACACTCACACACACACACACAAACAGACAGACACAGACACAGACACAAACAAACAGCCACAGACAGACACACACACACACAGACACACACACACACACAGAAACACACACACAAACAGACACAGACACACACACAGAGACAGACAGACAGACAGACAGACACACACACACACACACACACACACACACACACACACACACACACACACACACACACACACACACACAGATGGAACCAACACACACACTTAAGGAATTATTATTTTTATCCGAACGTTTCATCTGCTTGCTTTGGGTCCTTCAGGGGCAGTGTAAGCACATCTGCGCATGTTCCAGGCTGGTATACATGCATCCTAAATATGGCGTAAAGCAAACGTTCGGTGCTCACACTATAAATAACCTGAAATACGCCGTCATTGATTCCATGGTTTGGTAAAACATATTACCTGTATTGTTGATTACTGGACCATACATGGACATTTATATTATATGCACGATGTCATTAAAAGTTCATTTCTGTGGGATGGGACCACCAAATAATGAATTATGACAAATTATCCTCTTGTGTATTAAGATATGGGCGTTACAAAAAAAATGTCAATATTCCTGTGAGCCTGCCCAGATGAAAACCTTTTAAAAGTCTAATTTGCATTGCGTGACAGTGCGTGAAAGTGCGTGACAGTGCGTGACAGTGCGTGACAGTGCGTGAAATTTGAGTCGGTGTGTTAAGCATTAAATCAGAGAGCGACCATATATCGTTATCGGTCTCTTCTTAAATCCAGCTTCCTTGAGGTCCTTTGGAAAACTAAAACAACTGAATGTATGGAATAATTATTTCCATGCAACATGCACATAACACAGACAACAACTTTGAACTTGATCGTGCATCTTCAAAATACTCTACACGTTCGCCGACAGGCTGTGTCTTGCTAATAACCAAGGCCCACTTGCACAAAGCGATCTTAGCGCTAAGACTATCGTAAGCCTATGTTAAAGTATGGGAGTAACAATAATCTTAGCATTAAGATCGCTTTGTGCAAGTGGGCCCAGGTCCTTTGTGTCCTGTTAGATGGCCAAGTTGAGTACTTACCAAGATGAACTAGGTGACCGGGTCGGTGATACTGCACTGTACCCCTTCATGGTGACGACGGAATCCGGGTTGTGAGAGAAGTAAATATATAAGGAAGGACGCGAGCCCTCGTGTACATTCACTCATGGAAACGCTGTGTATTGTAACAGGGCTGCTGGTCCTGACGCTAGTCCCCGGGTGTAGGGCTGTCGAGAGGGTGTTCTACATAGCGGCAGTTGAACGGGAGTGGGACTATGCCCCTACGGGAAGGAACATCATCAACCCACAGGATCAGGGGTAAGAGTGTGTGTGTTTTTTGTTGTTGTTTAACGCCGCAATATTTCAGCTATTTGACGGCAGTCTGTAAAAAAATCGAATCTGGACCAGACAATCCAGTGATTGACGTCATGAGCATCGACCTACGCAATTGGGATACAATGACATGCATCAACCAAGTCTGCGAGCCTGACCATCCGATTTCCATTAGTCACCCCTTACGACAAGCATGGGTTGCTGAAGACCAAATCTAACCCGGAATCTTCAGGGACTTGACCTCAAGAGTTGATAGAAGGTAGTCTATTGACTGTCTATTGTTTAACGCCGCACTGAGCAACATTCTATAATAGTGTCCGAGGGACAGCTAACGGTGGAGCTAATTGTAGAAGTTTAACTGCAACATTTAATAAAAGGTTTTAAGGTTTTCTTCTTGTGAATATATATAACTGTGTGTGTTTGTGTGTGTTTGTGTGTGTGTGTGTTTGTGTGTGTGTGTGTGTGTGTTTGTGTGTGTGTGTGTGTGTGTGTGTGTGTGTGTGTGTGTGTTTGTGTGTGTGTGTGTGTGTGTGTGTGTGTGTGTGTGTGTGTGTGTGTGTGTGTGTGTGTGTGTGTGTGTGTGTGTGTGTGTGTGTGTGTGTGTGTGTGTGTGTGTATGTTGGGTTTAACGCCACTTTTAACAGTATTCCAACTAATACAAACCTTTCGAACCCACAATCATAGGTTTCTGGCGTGTCCAAGGGACGTAACTCTGCACAGCGAATCGCGGCGCCTGAGACGACTTGGTCACCATGCCCCCTAGTGAATAAGAGGTTGCACATAGTAGATTATACATGCGCAGTCAAATCTCTATATTAACCCACTACGGTACTCATATTTTCCTGGGGCGATCGGGTAGCCTAGTGGTTAAAGCGTTCGCTCGTCACGCCGACGATCCGGGTTCGATTCCCGACATGTGTACAATCTCTGTCCCCCGCCGTGATATTGCTGGAATATTGCTAAAAGCGGCGTAAAACCATATTCATTCACTCACTCATATTTTCCTATAGAATCACATCTACAAGTTCATATCACAATGATTTTTTTACATTTTCGCCAGGATTTCAGCTTAACATGGGGTCCTACTTTGATCAAAAGTTTGTTTCCCCGAAATGCGTGTGTCACGGGTTGCACACGAGTGGCGAACGGGGTGTTGTGGTAGGTGAAACTCGTCACACGTCCCGGGAAAGGGGAAACATACCCTCAGCGCAAATGCTATCTGTACCTTTTATTTTCCCTCCTAGAACTGCGGACAAGTATCTAGTGAATGGCAGGAACCGCATTGGCGGGGTCTACACCAAGACCATATATAGATCATACACAGACGCCACCTACCGGACTGAGATTCCAAGTCCACCATGGCTCGGGCTGTATGGACCAATCATCAGAGGAGAAATCGGGGACACCATCACCGTACACTTCCGGAACAATGGATCACGGGAGTTTTCTATGCATCCACATGGTCTCTTTTATAAGAAAGACAGTGAAAGTAAGTTGTTTAAAAAATGAACGCAGTTAGTAAGATGCCTACTCTAATCTTAAATTTAGTTGTTCATGTATGTATGTATGTATGTATGTATGTATGTATGTATGTATGTATGTATGTATGTATGTATGAATTGAATATATACTACTCAACTTCTTTTATTGGGATACTGAAATAATTCACAGTATTTCATAATTTACATAATTGTACATATTATTTGTAAACAGTTTGATGGATCAAAGCATACTAGAAATATTATTTTCAAAAGTTGAGTAGACAGTATACTCACTTGATAGATCTCTCATAATCGATCACGCATTGACTACATTTTAGTCCTGATATAATTCATTACAAATATAAAGGTCTATGTAAAAAAATATACTTGTTAAAGTGGGTAACATTTGGAAATAAAAATTAAAGCATCATAAATACTATTGTGTTCGGACAAGGCATCACCAAAAAGCATTAACATTGGAACCTGCATGCATGATCGATATACACCAGTTGAACGTAACTCTTCAATTTTTTTATCCTATAACTTTTGCAAACGTGACATTGTCATTAAAAGGTGTACTGATCTATAACTAACGGGGCATTGCAAGCGTCCACAAACGTATACACACTCACACAGATTATTTATATCAGGTGCAATCTACATGGATGGCACATCCGGCCGTTTTAAGTTTGATGACATAGTTATGCCCGGATCTGACGTCACGCTGACGTGGCAAGTACATCCTGACGACGCCCCAGGTCAAGACGACCCCGCCTGTATTCCGTACGTGTACCACTCGCATATCGACACCCCACCCGACACCAACACAGGACTCATCGGTGTCATCTCCGTCTGTAAGCCAGGTAATGGACCAACAGCTGTTGCATTCGTGTCTGACTGTAATCCAGGCCAGGACCAATATGTGTCGTACCTTTCTCTAGACCCGTGAAGAATAGGTATTCAGCAACCCATTTTTGCTTAAAAGGCGACTATTCTTGTCGTGAGAGGCGACTAACGGGATCGGGTGGTCAGGCTCGCTGACTTGGTTGATGTAAGTCATCGAATCCCAATTGCATAGATCGATGCTCATGATGTCAGTCACAGGATTGTCTGCTTTTATTTCGACTATCGATCTATTACTTTCGAACGTAAAATCCTTAAACCAAGTAATTAGAGAAGGTATAAATTGTATCGCATACTATTTGCAATCATCTGCAACGTTCAATATTAAGTCTTGTGAAAATAAGATTAAACGTCAAAGCCAGAGAATGACCATCCTCGATTATCTGCCAAAGCAGATTTATTTGGGCGGTGAAAATTATATAAATTGATACCTGACAATCAGTGATGACACCAGTCGTTCACGAACAATGCCTTGTGACTAGTTGCATTTTTCAGGAACATTGAATGTCAAAGGCGAAAGAAATGACGTGGATGAAGAGTATTTCATTGTTGCCAAAGTGTTTGACGAAAACGCAAACTGGATGACATCACGAAATTTGCAGAAGTGTGGAGTCCCGAGTGAGTGTCAGAGGTTGTTGGACGACGAAGACGAGGAGTTCATGGAAAGCAACATGATGTATACATTCAATGGCTATGCCTTTGCGCAACTTCCGGATCTGCTCGCGTGTTCAGGGGACAAGGTCGCGTGGCACGTGATTGGCATGGGCAACGAAATTGACATCCATACCATCGAGTTCCATGGCCAGATAGTGCTGACCGAACAGACAAGGTAGGAGTGACTACAAAACGTAGGGAAGGGTGAAAACACAACGTTGGAAGGGATGATCCACAACGTAGGTAGGGGTGAATACACAGCGTAGGTAGGGGTGATACACAACGTAGGCAGGGGTGAATAAACAACGTAGGAAGGGGTGAATACACAATATAGGTTGGGATAAATACACAACGTAGGTAGGGATGAATACACAACGTAGGTAGGGATAAATACACAACGTAGGTAGGGATGAATAAACAACGTAGGTAGGGGTGAATACCCAACGTAAGTAGGGGTGATACACAACGTAGGTAGGGGTGAATATACAACGTAGGTAGGGATGAATATACAACGTAGGTAGGGATGAATACACAACGTAGGTAGGGATGAATACACAACGTAAGTAGGGATGAATACACAACGTAAGTAGGGGTGAGAACACAACGTAGGTAGGGATGAATACACAACGTAAGTAGGGGTGAATGCGTAACGCAGATAGAGAAGAATACATAACGTAGGGATGGGTGAATTCACAGCGTTGGTAAGGGTGATACACAACGTAGGTAGGGGTGAATACTCAACGTAGGTACGGACGATGCACAACGTAGGTAGGGATGAATACACAACGTAGGTGTGGATGAGGCACAACGTAGGTAGGGGTGATACACAACGTAGGTAGGGGTGACTGCACAACGTAGGCAGGGTGAATACACAACGTAGGTAGGGATGAATACACAACGTAGGTAGGGGTGAATACACAACGGAGGTAGCGGTGATACACAAAGGAGGTAGGGGTGAATACACAACGTAGGTAGGGGTGATACACAAAGGAGGTAGGGGTGAATACACAACGGAGGTAGCGGTGAAAAACAACGCAGGTAGGGGTGAATACACAACGTAGGTAGGGATGACTACACAACGTAGGTGTGGATGATGCACAACGTAGTTAGGGGTGACTACACAACGTAGGTAGGGATTAATACAGAACGTAGGTAGGGGTAAGTACACAATATAGGTAGGGGTGAATACACAACGTAGGTAGGGGTGATACACAACGTAGGTAAGGATGAATACACAACGTAGTTAGGGATGAAAACACAACGTTTGTAGAGATGAATACACAACTTAGACGGGAATGATGGACAACGTAGGTAGGGGTGACTACACAACGTAGGTAGGGGTGACTACACAACGTAGGTAGGGGTGACTACACAACGTAGGTAGGGGTGACTACACAACGTAGGTAGGGGTGACTACACAACGTAGGTAGGGGTGACTACACAACGTAGGTAGGGGTGATACATAACATCGGTAGGGGTGATACATAACATCCGTAGGGGTGTATACACAACGTAGGTAGGGGTGAATACACAATATAGGTTGGGGTGAATTCACAACGTAGGTAGGGGTGAATACCCAACGTAGGTGCCTCTGAATACACATTATAGGTAGGGGTGAATACACATTATAGGTAGGGGTGAATTCACAATATAGGTTGGGGCGAATTCACAACGTAGGTAGGGGTGAATTCACAACGTAGGTGCCTCTGAATACACATTATAGGTAGAGGTGAATACACAATATAGGTTGGGGTGAATTTACAACGTAGGTAAGGGTGACTACACAACGTAGGTAGGGGTGAATGAATAACGTAGGTAGGGTGAAAAAACAACGTAGGTAGGGGTGAGTACACAACGTAGGTAGGGATGACGGACAACGTAGGTAGGAATGACTACACAACGTAGGTGGGAATGATGCACAACGTAGTTAGGGGTGACTACACAACGTAGGGAAGCGTGAATACACAACGTAGGTAGGGATGACTACACAACGTAGGTAGGGGTAAATAAACAACGTCGGTAGGGGTGAGTACACAACGTAGGTAGGGATGATGGACAACGTAGGTAAGGATGAATACACAACTTAGTGAAGTGTGAATACACAACGTAGGTAAGGGTGAAAAAACAACGTAGGTAGTGGTGACTACACAACATAAGTAGGGATGACTACACAACGTCTGGCGCTGTTGGTGTCAAAATCACCAAGCCTAATGTTATCCTGTCTAACCAAAAAAGGTGTGTGTGGGGAAATGACCCTGGCTGGGAATTGTCCTGTGGGGAATTATTCTGTGGGGAAATGTTTGGACCCGAATTTAAATGACATATATCAGTGGACATGTTTCAGTGACGACAACATCCAGGTGTTCCCTGCTGTCTTCAAGACGGGGATGATGACAGTTGGTGCCCCGGGACATTGGATAATAGGGTGTATGGTCACAGATCATTTCGCCGGTCAGTCGACATTTATCAGATCACTATTCACATAAACCAATCTGCAAGACGTTATCATTATTCTTAACGTAACCTGCATATTTTCTCATTTGAATATGGTAATTTATATTTTAATAATCTCTTACTCATACAGTGTCTATAAGTATTAATTATGTCCTGGATGAGTTCATATAGAAAGGTATTTCTTATAATTTTAGGCGGTATGAATGCATACTTCGTCGTAGAAAATTGCGGGGCTCGGGAATCGCCAAAGCTACAAGGAACCATTCGTAATTACTATCTCGCCATAGAAGAAGAAGAATGGAATTATGGGCCTTCTGGCTTGGATAGGTTTAATGGTGGCAAACTCATTGAACCTGGAAGGTATAAGGCTTAATTGTGAATAGTTAAGATTTTTTACGGCAAAAATAATATACCACTGTTTTAATGTGTTGTAATATTGCAATGCTAATTCCGTTGAATGATGCATGTCAAGAATCATGGTTGCAACTTTTGCTCGGTCCAAGGATGTTTTAACTTTCGACTTTGACAAAGCGTAATGAAATATTTTTCAAGAGGTTACTTTTGTCCAAATTGCAGCAAGGCGGAGCCCTATTTCGGTCAAAGTACTAGTGCTGGTCGCATCGGAGGACAATACAAGAAGGCAAGGTTCCAAGAGTATGGTGACATTGCCTTTTTGAGCCGGAAGTCGTCTAATGACACATCTCTTGGAATTCTGGGACCGGTGTTACGAGCGGAAGCTGGGGATCATATCAACATTGTCATAAAGAACAAAGGCAGTAGACCGTTCTCGTTTACTGGCCATGGGTTGACGTACACACAAGGCCCGGGTGAAATGACAGGTATGGATGTGATTATGTTAACTCTACACACTACCCAGGTGAAATTACAAGTATGAAAATGATCATTTTATCTCTACACACTGCCCATCTTCCCAAAACAAGGGAGTTAACTAACTGTAAAAGTCAAGTTTCCACTCTTACCGAACTAGGCTGCAATTTTCAGGCTCGATCGTAGCACCACCATTGGCTATTACGACTTATGTCCCTCCTATGTCCCCCTATTGACCAATAAGATTCCATCGCTCATATAGCTTGCATTTACTTCAAACAAGATTTCGGCTCCGAGTCAAGACGATTTGATCGATAATCAAGAGCTATGATGTAATAAAACGGGATACCTCGCAAAGTGCATGAACCACTGGATTAAAAACATGCAAAAATACACATGCTGACACGGCGTGACGAGCGAACGCTTTAACCACTAGGCTACCCGACCGCCCCCCGACTCATTAGAAAACACACATTGACTGGACATGTGAGGGGCTTGTCGAGATCGTGCCAGAGAGGGTCCCTGCTCTCAAAGCGGCTTCGGGGCGGTCGGGTAGGCTAGTGGTTTAAGCGTTCGCTTGTCACGCCGAAGACCCGGGTTCGATTCCCGACATGGGTACATTGTGTGAAGCCCATTTCTGGAGTCCCCCGCCTTGATATTGCTGGAATATTGCTAAAAGCGGCGTAAAACCATACTCACTAACTCACTCAAAGCGGCTTCCAACTTTAACTTGCAATGTTCTTGATTGCTTTTATTTCACTTGCGAGTATCTCCTAACCCATCTCTTTTCTGATTATCACAACATCTTGGTGGTGCGATACTTTTTGACGAAGTTTATATATAAGTCCTTCATAACAAAAGTGTATTCTGTATCGCGCCGTTATGGTTGTGAATAACTGACCCGGTGGTGCTACGTACACGTACTTAACCCGTATAAAATTGTCTTTGCTTAGGACATTCTGCGCATGTCAACCCTGGCACAATTCATGTGTACAATCAGCACGTTCCCGATGACGTCATTGGCCCAAATGACCCAGATTGCGTCGTGAAGATATACTACTCAGCTGCAATCAGTGACGTCAATTCTGGCCTGATAGGGCCTCTAGTTCTGTGTCGGAGTGGCGCTTTGGACAAAGTCACCGGGAGACAGGTATGTTTTGTTTGTTTGTTTGTTGTTTAACGCCGCACTCAGCAATATTCCAGCTATATGACGGCGGTCTGTAAATAATCGAGTCCGGACCAGACAATCCAGTCATTGGCATCATGTGCATCGATCAACGCAAATGGTATACGATGACATGCATCAACCAAGTCAGCGGGCCTGACCACCCGATCCCGTCAGTAGCCTCTTACGGCAAGCTTAGTCGCCTTTTACGGCAAGCATGGGTTGCTGAAGACCTATTCTAACCGGGATCTTCACTGGTCAGGTATGTATTGAGTGAGATTGGGGCCAACCTTTGATATTATGCGGACACCTTGAAATAAGTACCCGTAAAGATTCCGGGGTAGAATAGGTCTTCCGCAACCCATTCTTGCCGTAAAAGGGGACTATGCTTGTCGTAAAAGGCGGCTAACGGGATCGGGTGGTCAGGCTCGCAGACTTGGTTGATGCATGTCATCGATCCCAATTGCGTGGATCGATGCTCATGATATTAATCACTGGATTGTCTGGTCCAGACTCGATTATTTACAGACCGCCGTCATATAGCTGGAATATTGCTGAGTGCGGCGTTAAACAACAAACCAACAAACCAACCTTGAAATAAGCAGTTTAACCTCTGGTTTTAAAAAAAGCCAATAAAACATGTTTGTTTTCAGAGAATATGTGGTACATGTCGAGTTATCGGCGTATAGTCCTAATTTTGGAAGAAAGCCGGAAGTGAAGCAGACTCAGATGTTTACCATTTCGGTGAAACCCACAAGCACGGGCTCGGTGCTGACACATCTAAAAACGTAATCGGGGCGAACGCAGTTCCGAACCCACGATCATGGGTTTCTGGCATGCCCAAAGGACGCAACTATTCAAAGTGGATTGCAGCGCCTTAGACGGCTGACCCCTTGAATGTTTTGAACCAGTGAGCGAAACTATTTTCTGTTCGAGGTAACTGGGTTTAAGACAGGTTTAAAATCAAAGGGTTTGAGCTTAATGTGAGAGTTTACAGGTTGCTGACTGACCAAGGAACATAATCATGTTGATTTGGGATTCAAACCCGCGATGAACCTGATCCTTGCACTGCTAAGGGACACAACTCTATATCGGGAATAGCAGTACCACTAGAACATAAGAACATAACCCTTGCACCCGGGTATATGAAGGAAATCATTAATCTGAATCTGAACAAAACATTTCATTAAAGTACACACAACATCCTGGTGTTGTTCATCTTCCCGAGGCAAGAGAGTTAACTGACTTTAAAAGTCTTGTTTCCACCCTTGCCGAACTAGGCTGGAATTCCTGGGCTCGATCGTAGCGCCACCAGTGGCTGTTACGAGTTATGTCCTTTCTATGCCTCTCCTATTGACCAATCAGATTCAACCTCTCGTATCACTTTCATTTGCTTCAAACAAAACGGTGGCGCCCAGTCAAGACGATCTGATCGATAATCAAGTTCTATATTGTGATAAAACGAGTCTTACATCGCGAAGTGCATCAAATCACGTGAGCATCTTGATTAAAAACAGGAAACATCTGTTGACAACGAGTTAGCGGTGCACATGCTTTGCAAATCCTGCAGTCGACCGAAATCTGCATGACACTTTACGAACCGGATTTCGATTTCGGTGCGCTATTTTGATTGGACTATGCATAGACTCGTTAGTCCAGCCAAAATGTAACTCCATAATACCAGCCTAGTTCGGCAAGGGTGGAAACTGGACTTTTATAGTCAGTTAACTCACTTGCCTCGGAAAGATGGGTGTTGTTGGAACAATGTTTAATTATACATGCACTTACATGTTCATGACACATGAGCCGGATACTATCTTTGTTGTAGAGGTACACCGCCAGAGAGTTTTTCCTGCTGTTTAGTGCATTTGATGAGAACAAGTCTTGGTACTTAGATGACAACATCAAGAGTCACGTGACTACAACTGTCAACAAGGACAACGCCGACTTTACTGAGAGCAACGTCATGCACGGTAAACATCGGCTTCACACAAAATTAATGACGCACTTTGTCTCCGTCTCCTCTACAAGTATGGGGGCGGTCGGGTAGCCTAGTGGTTAAAGCGTTCGCTCGTCACGCCGAAGACCCGGGTTCGATTCCCGACATGGGTACATTGTGTGAAGCCCATTTCTGGTGTCCCCCGCCGTGATATTGCTGGAATATTGCTAAAAGCGGCGTAAAACCATACTCACTCACTAACCTCACTCTACAAGTATGGCTGAGCTAGTGCCTTAAGCTATGTATTCTGTATTTAATTTATGTATTCTAATAAAGCTGTCCACGCGTGTATTTCGATTCCGTCTCCGACACCCATATTTCTGTTATATCGCGTCTGCCCTTCAACAATCAAGTCTGCACCAGCCAAACCAGTGGCTGAAAGCATGAGCATTAGAATACACATTGCATCGTCTTAACTTACTATAGTAAAGGGTGAGTGAGTGGGTTTGGTTTTACGCCGCTTATCCAATATTCTAGCAATATGACGGCGGACGAAACCATAAGTGATTTTCACATTTTGTACACATGTGGGGAATAGAACCCGGTCTTCAGCGTTACGAGCGAAAGTTTTAACCACTAGGGTACACCACCGCACACTTACATTAGTAAAACGCATGTACTTCGAACATTAGAAATGTAATGTTTTGACATCTTTTTTTGCCAGGAATCAATGGACTGAGTTTCGGCAACTTGGATGGCTTGAACATGTGTGTTGGTGACAATGTCACGTGGCATATACTTTCTTACGGATCTGAAGTGAATGTGCAGGCGCCCTATTTCCATGGTAACACATTCAGTATTGGAAATAGACATCGAGACGTTGGTACCTTGATATCTGGAGAGACACACTCGCTCTTCATGACGCCAGATAATCCAGGTGAGAAATACACTCGCTCTACACGACGCCAGATAATCCAGGTGAGAGACACACTCGCTCTACATAACGTCGGATAATCCAGGTGAGAGACAAACTCGCTCTACACGACGCCAGATAATCCAGGTGAGAGACAAACTCGCTCTACACGACGCCAGATAATCCAGGTGAGAGTCACACTCGCTCTACACGACGCCAGATAATCCAGGTGAGAGACACTCTCGCTCTACATGACGCCAGATAATAGAGGTGAGAGACACACTCGCTCTTCGTGACGCCAGATAATCCAGGTGAGAGACACACTGGCTCTACATGACGCCAGATAATCAAGGTGAGAGACACACTCGCTCTACATGACGCGAGATAATCAAGGTGAGAGACACGCTCGCTCTTCATGACGCCAGATAATCCAGGTGAGAGACACACTCGCTCTTCGTGACGCCAAATAATCCAGGTGAGAGACACGCTCGCTCTTCATGACGTCAGATAATCCAGGTGAGAGACACACTCGCTCTTCATGACGCCAGATAATCCAGGTGAGAGACACACTCGCTCTACACGACGCCAGATAATCAAGGTGAGAGACACACTCGCTCTACATGACGCCAGATAATCCAGGATAGAGACACACTCGCTCTTCTGGACGCCAGATAATCCAGGTGAGAGACACACTCGCTCTACACGACGCGAGATAATCCAGGTGAGAGACACACTGGCTCTACATGACGCCAGATAATCCAGGTGAGAGACACACTCGCTCTACATGACGCGAGATAATCCAGGTGAGAGACACACTGGCTCTACACGACGCGAGATAATCCAGGTGAGAGACACACTGGCTGTACATGACGCCAGATAATCAAGGTGACAGACACACTCGCTCTTCATGACGCCAGATAATCCAGGTGAGAGACACACTCGCTCTTCGTGACGCCAAATAATCCAGGTGAGAGACACACTCGCTCTTCATGACGCGAGATAATCCAGGTGAGAGACACACTCGCTCTTCATGACGCCAGATAATCCAGGTGAGAGACACACTCGCTCTTCGTGACGCCAAATAATCCAGGTGAGAGACACACTCGCTCTTCGTGACGTCAGATAATCCAGGTGAGAGACACACTCGCTCTTCATGACGCCAGATAATCCAGGTGAGAGACACACTGGCTCTTCATGACGCCAGATAATTCAGGTAAGAGACACACTCGCTCTTCGTGACGCCAAATAATCCAGGTGAGAGACACACTCGCTCTTCATGACGCCAGATAATCCAGGTGAGAGACACACTCGCTCTTCATGACGCCAGATAATCCAGAGAGAGACACACTCGCTCTACACGACGCCAGATAATCAAGGTGAGAGACACACTCGCTCTTCTGGACGCCAGATAATCCAGGTGAGAGACACACTGGCTCTACACGACGCGAGATAATCCAGGTGAGAGACACACTCGCTCTACATGACGCCAGATAATCCAGGTGAGAGACACACTCGCTCTACATGACGCCAGATAATCCAGGTGAGAGACACACTGGCTCTTCATGACGCGAGATAATCCAGGCGAGAGACACACTCGCTCTTCATGACGCCAGATAATCCAGGTGAGAGACACACTCGCTCTACACGACGCCAGATAATCCAGGTGAGAGACACACTCGCTCTTCATGACGCCAGATAATCCAGGTGAGAGACACACTGGCTCTTCATGACGCCAGATAATCCAGAGAGAGACACACTCGCTCTACACGACGCCAGATAATCCAGGTGAGAGACACTCTCGCTCTTCGTGACGCCAAATAATCCAGGTGAGAGACACACTCGCTCTACATGTCTGCGAGTACAATGTTCAGCGAACAATAAACATTACAAAATGTAACATATTTATCATTATTATTATTGCTACGTTCTCCTTCAATCTCGTATGAAGATAAAACAATGTAGGATTTAGGTAATACGCCCTATGTAGATATTGAAACACAACCGTTCCAGGTGTCTGGGCCGTGAGGTCAGCGACCAACATCATGACGGACACTGGCGTGACCGCTCTGTACACGGTCAACCCATGCGGTTCAACCATGACCGGTGCCGACGGCGTAGGCAGCGGCGTCACGAGACGCTACAACATCGCCGTGGAGGAGGTGGACTGGGACTACGCCCCACGCGAAACAAGCCTCATCAACGGTGTAGATCTCAATGACCCTCGAGCGTAAGTCCACGGTCATCTTGTGTAAGCAAATTCGAGAGCAGGTGCAACTATTTGTTACCTAGACATATAGGTGGGGCAATGGTAGCCAATGGTCGAAGGCGCTGCATTTGGAACCTATGATCATGACTTCGAATCCCGGTTCGCCCTGATTATGATTATGTTTATTTGTGGACTGAAATCAGTTCTGTAATGAATATATTTTCTTCAATCCTTTAACTGGGATTATGAAGCTAAAACAAGACACGTTTCATGATATTTATTTGAGTAAAATTCGGTTCAATACATTAACTTATATTGTGTTACGCATACATAGTTCGGGAAATCACATGAAATTTATTTTCAAGATTGAATATATAATAGTAATTTGTTTTTGTTTCCTTCCAACACAGTGCATTCATTTTTGTGAGAGATGACGAAAACTTCATCGGTGACACCTACAAGAAGGCTTTATACAGGCTATACACTGATAACACATTTACCAACCGGAAGTCACGAAGCCAGGAGGATATTCATTTAGGAATTATGGGTCCAATGATTAAAGCGGAAGTTGGTGATAAAATTGAAGTGAGTTTGAAGAACCTCGGCAGCAGGGAGTACTCAATTCACCCACATGGCCTGTTCTATAACAAGTCCAACGAAGGCACAGCGTATAACAACGGCCCTGACGGAGGTGTTCAGCCGGGAAAGACGCGCGTGTACACGTGGTATGTACCGGAGCGCGCCGGACCCGGAAGTAGTGACCCTAACTGTATCCCTTGGTTGTACACATCGGGTATTGAATCAACAAAAGACACATACGCAGGCCTCATTGGCACAATTGTGATTTGCCGGAAGGGGATACTCGACTCTAACAACACGCGCACTGACGTAAATAGGGAATTCGCTCTTTTGTTTAGTATATTTAACGAGAACAAAAGCTGGTATTTATCAGATAACATAGCCAATCACGCGGCAGGAAGGGTTGGCACCGACTATGATGATGATGGAGACTTTGAGGAGAGCAACCTCTTCCACTCCATCAACGGACTATTGACTGGCAACAACGTTGGCCTGAACGTACGGCTGAACGACACCATCGCTTGGTACCTGCTGTCATCGGGGTCGGAGTTGGACATGCACACAATTCATTTTCATGGACAAACCTTCACCCACGTCAGCAACAACAAACATCGTACTGACGTCATCGAACTGTACCCCGGGGAGGCAGAGGAGGTGGAGATGCGCGCGCATGACGTAGGGACATGGATCCTCCATTGTCACGTGTTGGATCATATCAGTGCAGGTATGGAAACAACATACACGGTGTTGCCGTAGAGCTCTCACACGTATGGAGCATTGATTGCAGAATTGATGCTTGGAAAAACCTGAAAGCTTTTTGTTGCTGTTACATTTTTATTTACATACACAGTAATTGTTTATTTTTTTTATATATGATGATAATAAAGGCTTGTTTATGAATGCAGTTCGTTCGGATCTATATAATCAATATCATATTTAACATTAGCTACACTGATAATTGACAGTTGGTAGTCAGAGCGAAATATGCACGTGCCATCATCAAGTATTATCGAGTACACCATCTTCCACTGTGGGCAAAGGTGGTGGATGTGCTGTAATTACCATGACCTGACCCAGGCTTCGAACCATGACGCATGCACCGTACTCGCGTCCACAGTACAGACACATGCTTACACGAAGAGACACACACACACGTACGTACGTAACATGAATGCACACACACGTACGTACCATGAGTGCATGCACCCGCTCACGCACACACACACACACACACACACACACACACACATTCAGATATACCATGAATGCATACTTAGTATTATATACACACACGTACACATTCTCTCTCTCTCTCTCTCTCTCTCTCACACACACACACACACACATACACACACGCGGACAACTCTCTCTCTTACACACTCAAACACATACGCACACACACATACACACACGCGCACACACTCTCACATAGACACATACACACACGCGCGCGCGAATAACAACCCCGGCCTGTAAATCTACACGCTACCAGAATTTCAAAAATGACTCGATCTGAAACTTCGGGTTGATTCTAAATTGATGTTAGCGCAGTTAAAGTTTCAGGTCACATAGCTCCTCATTGAAAACACAGTATGTTATCGTCTACTTAAACTAACATGCAGCAATTCACATGAAATGCAGTGACATCAAAGCAGCGTCAAACCTCAACTCACTCACTCACTCACTCAGTGTTAAATGCAGCCAGTTTCTACAAGGGAACACGGAGATTCCAGCTGCCAGATCGTTGACAGTGACACATCATGACAACGTAGAGTTCTTGGCTACACTAGTACTGAAGCAACATAAAATCACAGTCATTCTGACAGATATCAATCAAACATCATGAAGATGGCCACTGGCAAATTTGAACCATCATTTTAATCCCGAAACCGTATTCATGTATGTTTCGATGATGTTCACATGTTCCTCTGGTAAAAGAGTGTAACAGAGGTGAACATTAAGTGCTTCTCTTGCTCCTGTGTGTAGTGATGGGCTTGGGATCAAACCTTTCGTTGAGGTCGTTTTTAATTGCGGTTTGATAATTGGATGAGCATAAAAAGGACAAAACAACATAAATGTCATCACAGCATGCGTGTCAAAAACATCCGTGACAAAATCAAAGAAATTTCAACAGAATGATGAAACGTATCGTCGGGCCTTGACGACAGGGAATGAGACGGACAGTTAAAGGGAGGTAACTACTAAATAATACTACTCTTCAGGTTGCACGCGAAGCTGTTATCAAGAGTCCACATAAGGTACGCCTCGCTAATAATTTTTAACAGATGGAATGTCGTGCAGTTATTGGAAATACATCAGAGGCAAAATTTATCAAGTCAACGAAATTGTCTGAGGTTGGTCTCCAGGAATGTAGAAAGAAGGAAACTAATGGCACTAGTCTCACTTTGAATATCGTGATAGTGATAGTGTCGGGCCGGTGTGTGTGTGTGTGTGTGTGTGTGTGTGTGTGTGTGTGTGTGTGTGTGTGTGACCAAGTATTATCTGCAGAGTACACACTTGCTGCCTACAGAAATATGCTGCCTTGTTGTGTATTTGGTTCAAATACACGCTGTAAGCATGTGAAGCATGGTACTTCATACAAAAAAACCCGTTAAGGGTGTATTATTATATACTTCAGTGTGAAAGACTGAGTTGTCTGCAGTTCAAGTTTCCTTTGCAGTGAACATAACACTCGCTATTTCACTGCTGTGAACATAACACTTTGACGGAACTGTTGTCAAACAAGAGTTACCCCGTCTCAAATTGTCTCCCTTTATCATGTCTGGCTCCTACACAAACTGTTGACTTCCTTTTCACGTTAGTTCCTCAATGACAAGGCAAATTAATGGCCGATGGTCATTTATGTAGTTGATGTCGCTTCTTGCCATTTGTTATTCTCTTGAAAGTGTTTCGTTATAAACTGTCAAATTCTCATTTAACTCGTCAATCGAGACTGTTCGTTTCGCAAAGCGCCATTTCTGTTACTTGACCAGCGTGTATTCTTTTGCTACCAACAGCGGTCTCTTAGTTTTCAGGAATATTTTTTTGTTAAAGTTGATTGTGTATATAATCATATCTAAATATATGATAAAGACTTTTCGTTAGCCTAAATATTTTTAGTTACTTTTGTTTATTTTTTTAAAGATTTTGCAAACACGAAACTACTTTTTATGTCGCAAATACAAGGGGTGGTGAACCGCCCCCGCGTGTTAGGTTGGGAGCGCAAATTTACGGTTCAAGGTTTTACATTTGTAATGAAATAATTTATTTTTTTCCGGATGACAACTACACAAAAAAGTGTATAATATGTAGGATATTCCATATGACTCTCATCTCGCGACGAGGGAAAAGGAGATATTTTCACTCGTGACTACGCCAATCGTGAAAATATCCCCAAGTAACTCGACGAGAGAAACTTGATATTTCACTCGACACATGAAATATCCTCTATATATATCCTTCGTAGTTTGGCCCATAACTTTTTAGACACCCTTCGTAGCTGGAATATTCTTGAGTGCGGCGTTAAACAACAAACATAAATATTCACGTATCTAGACTGTCATTCCAAAACAAGTGTGAGAAGTGATACTAAAATATACGTCAAATGTCCAACATTAACCAAAGAATGACAAAACAACAAATAAACATCGATGTATAAAGAGATCAGTAAGTTTAATTACTTGTAAACATCCAGTCGGAGACAGAATTAACGTCCATGGCTATCCGAGAAGAAGCATTAACCAAACTCTGTTCATTCACTTGGTCGTAGAATTCTGGAAGCAATTGCTGTATTATACTTGAAAATCGGATTCGGTTGCTTTTGCGATGAGCGCTCCTTCTAATCAACCTCGGTTTTCTGGTTAGCTTGTACTTTACTTTTGGATTTCGTCCGTAGTGCATTCGACCGAGACTAATAAATTTGATTGAGGGTTTGTTGTTTATAAAAGTTATGAGGATGTCATCAGTATGCAAGCGAGAACACCCCAGATGTCTTTGATTAAAGGCATTGAGAGCTTTCGCTACCTCCCTCAGCAAGTTCACTCTCTGGACTTCATTGAAAGCGCGTTGGTCGTGGACGACGTTCGACAACGTGACACTGTCGCTCACACCCTTCTGCACCAGCGCCATGTCCGCCAACTGAGTTCCCATGAAAACAACACCCTTGAACAAGGGGACATAACTCGTGTCGTTTAGATATAAGCTGACTCTCGCACAATGACGAATATATCTAAAGCTTACTGTCTTAAACGTTCGAATCACCACAGTTTCTTTTGTTGGATTGTATTTTGCTAGATGCCAACCTTGGAATATCATAGGTCTTTTATATATTGTAAAGTCCTTCAGTAACAAGATAGGCAATGGTAGATGGTGAAAGCCACGGTGCTTCCCACTACAGGGTTGATGGCTATGTGAGTCTCTGTGCATAAAGCTATCGGTAGATAGAGGGCATGATTTCTGTAGAAGTTCGAGAAGATCCTTCTCAAGGGTTCGTACGGATATTCTGGAGTCTGGATCTTTTGTCATGCACTCAGATGCTAGGTAAATGAGCTTGTCTTTTTTAGCCAGACGCCCAATAGTTTTGATGTTTTGTCCAGCACTATATATATCACTAGCTGGTGTCGACTGGTCGTAGGACACTTCCGGCGGAAGATAAGCCCGATAAGGTATGTTGTCATATGGGTTGAAGTTCTTCACGGCTCTGCCATGACGGAATGTAGAGTCCCCGAAGTCAATGAAATAAACCTTTGGATCCGAGCCTCTCCACTGGATGAGGATGTTTTTATGGTGAAGATCATTATGGAGAACATACCTTTCGTTAATATGTCTCAGCCCACCTGCTATTTGATAGGAAATGTTCAACCACTGGCAGCCACTGACTTTATGGGAGTTGTTGAACCACACACCAATTGTGGAACTATTTTTAATATACTCTGACACTATTGACAAATTATACATACTCGGTCCAGTTGGCAGAAGTCCGACTACATCTGGAACGAAAGGGACGTCATCTAGATACGTTAGGATCCGGGCCTCGTGGAAGATTTGATGGAAGTTCTTGTTCCTCAATGTCTTGACAATGATGGGTGTTCTGGAATCCTTCATCTCGGCTCTGTACACAACGCCCTCGTGGCCGCTCCCAACCTTCACGAAAGCCTTGTTGCTGTCCACGTGGTGGACCACCGAGTCTTCATGGAGCAGCCGGGGAACATAGCCGGACAAATCCACGGGCACAGCGTCTGACGGAAACCCAAACTTCTGGAAGATGTCCACCTTGCCCCGATTGGGGCAGATTGTGTTATTTGGATGGAGGAAGAACGATGTGCTCGCGCAGATGTCATGACCTGAATGAAAAATAGATGTCAGTTTAGCAATTGATTCTTTTGAAAATCCTCAATACGTATCCATTAGGAAAGTCCAAAGTTCCCTTTTGATTTTCAATTCATAAATGTATACGTGTACTTATACTGACCAATCGCAGCGTTGAGCCACAGCATCAGAGAGGCCCATGCTATTACGTGTCTGTAACATGCCATTGCTTACCTGAAACAGATGCAGAGGCTTAGAACATGTTACGTGTCAGTGACTACTTACATGTATGTGACTAGCTATGGTACCTGTTTACAACATTAATTACTCGGCTATTCAGTTCTAAGTTTATTCTTTTTTTAACAGCGACTCAATTACAATCATTATTGATTACAAGGTGAAATGCTTTCATAAATGCAGTAACCCATTCACCAAACCGCGGTGTGATTATTTGTTCATTTTGCGCATCGTGAAATATTAACAAAAACGTTTGTGCCATCTTGCACATGTTCATTGTACAACTGACGTACTGTCGTTATTTGTATCCTTATTCTCATCTTGGCACAGGTACAACTAATGTAACTATCGTTATTTGTATCCCTATTCTCATCCTGGCACAGGTACAAGTGTTGCAACTGTCGTTATTTGTATCCCTATTCTCATCCTGGCACAGGTACAGCTGATGTAACTATCGTTATTTGTATCCCTATTCCCATCTTGGCACAGGTACAGCTGATGTAACTATCGTTATTTGTTTCCTTATTCTCATCTTGGCACAGGTACAGCTGATGTAACTATCGTTATTTGATTCCTTATTCCCATCTTGGCACAGGTACAGCTGATGTAACTATCGTTATTTGTTTCCTTATTCTCATCTTGGCACAGGTACGGCTGATGTAACTATCGTTATTTGTATCCCTATTCTCATCTTGGCACAGGTACAGCTGATGTAACTATCGTTATTTGTTTCCTTATTCCCATCTTGGCACAGGTACAGCTGATGTAACTGTCGTTATTTGTTTCCTTATTCCCATCTTGGCACAGGTACAGCTGATGTAACTTTCGTTATTTGTATCCCTCTTTTCATCTTGGCACAGGTACAGCTGATGTAACTGTCTTTATTTGTTTCCTTATTCCCATCTTAGCACAGGCACAGCTGATGTAACTGTCGTTATTTGTTTCCTTATTCCCATCTTGGCACAGGTACGCCTGATGTAACTATCGTTATTTGTATCCCTCTTTTCATCTTGGCACAGGTACAGCTGATGTAACTATCGTTATTTGTATCCCTATCCTCATCTTGGCACAGGTACGCCTGATGTAACTGTCGTTATTTGTATCCCTATCCTCATCTTGGCACAGGTACAGCTGATGTAACTGTCGTTATTTGTATCCCTATCCTCATCTTGGCACAGGTACAGCTGATGTAACTTTCGTTATTTGTATCCTTCTTTTCATCTTAGCACAGGCACAGCTGATGTAACTGTCGTTATTTGTTTCCTTATTCCCATCTTAGCACAGGTACAGCTGATGTAACTTTCGTTATTTGAATCCCTCTTTTCATCTTAGCACAGGTACAGCTGATGTAACTATCGTTATTTGTTTCCTTATTCCCATCTTAGCACAGGTACAGCTGATGTAACTTTCGTTATTTGTATCCCTCTTTTCATCTTAGCACAGGCACAGCTGATGTAACTGTCGTTATTTGTTTCCTTATTCTCATCTTGGCACAGGTACAGCTGATGTAACTATCGTTATTTGTATCCTTATTCTCATCTTGGCACAGGTACAGCTGATGTAACTATCGTTATTTGTATCCTTATTCTCATCTTGGCACAGGTACAGCTGATGTTACTATCGTTATTTGTTTCCTTATTCCCATCTTGGCACAGGTAGGGCTGATGTAACTATCGTTATTTGTTTCCTTATTCCCATCTTGGCACAGATACGCCTGATGTAACTATCGTTATTTGTTTCCTTATTCCCATCTTGGCACAGGTACAGCTGATGTAACTATCGTTATTTGTTTCCTTATTCCCATCTTGGCACAAGTACGCCTGATGTAACTATCGTTATTTGTTTCCTTATTCCGATCTTGGCACAGGTACGCCTGATGTCACTATCGTTATTTGTTTCCTTATTCCCATCTTGGCACAGGTACGGGTGTCAGTGAGACTTTCGCATTATAACGAAAGAAAAACTATAATCTAGGCCCACTTACACAAAGCAATATTAGTGCTAAGACTATCGTAAGCCTATGTTAAAGTACTTGAGTTACGATCATCTTAGCACTGAGACCGCTTTGTGCAAGTGGGCCCCGGTGTCCCAAACAGCACCCATGGGTATAGAACCCTGGCGTCATAGATGGCCTCACAAACCACAGGGCTACCCCACAGCGTTCCGCATCTGTAAACAGGGCTAAACTGGTGCCACCGGCAGAGCAGGAAAGGCTTACCCTTTTCGCGAACACCTGGTGTCGTAATCCATACATATAATTTCACCACTCTTTCACCAGTCCTTGCCTGAAATCTGTTTCCGCAAATAATCGAGACGTCTGACGTTGACGTTTCAAAATTTACATTTTACATGTCATGTTGACTCAGAAATTGGGTTACACACAACAACAATGTCACGATGCCTTTTTTAGCAAGCAGTAATATACGTCTTAGGACCAAACAATGGGCAAGCAGTATGCACATATGTATAAGAGTGGCCCGGTAAGGGCGCGACTTGTCACTCAGCATGCGGTAGAAGCATGTCGGTATAGAATTGTATTTAATGTATTCAAGAAGTCTTTCATGTCGAATGTATCAGCAGAGGGGTTGTGCTGGCTTTGAAATGAGTATACTAGCTGTGGCAGTGTCTAAACGTGGTTCATCTGTTCTATTCTCCGTTTTGAAAAGCAACACAGATGATCGGGCGAACACAATGGCTTCTTCCCTGTGCGACCAGTGCAGTCCGATGGCGTATCATTCACAAACGATATCATTCACATCACTGAGTCAACTACAAAATAATATTCAGGCCGAGACATTAAAACTTCCACTCCTCACTGTGTTGCAAAACGAACGTATTTATACAGTGCCTCTCTGCACTTGTATGCAGCATACAATATTCAAGGTTAACATCGTATTTAGTTGACACTTAATTAGTAAATGGCGCATTCAAGTCACTGGATGTCTGGCCTAGACACGATTGTTGACATGCCACGGTCGTGTGGCTGGTGGGGGTGGGGGTGGCAGTGGGGGTAGGTTGTGGGTGAAGTTTTTGGGTGCAAGTGCAAGTGCAAGTGCAAGTTGAAGTTGGGTGCAACAAACCCCACTTAGTACATTAGTACGCACGTACATACAACATACATACATACATGGTATAAAATTCGTATTTGTATCTTATAGACAGTAAGTTTTCCCCTGTCGGGGGATGGGGAGGGGACAGGTATGTGTGTGTGTGTGTGTGTGTGTGTGTGTGTGTGTGTGTGTGTGTAAAGATTACATATTTGCAATAGTTGTCCTGATCCATCGTGACTTAATATCACTGATATGTAAATATATGTAAATATATGTCTTTCACAGTGTCCCTTGTGAAGGAAACACAGTTCATTAACGACAACAACACGGACCGCACGGTTGCATATGTGTTTACATCCGGGTTTGCGCTGTTGAAATATACCTCGACGGACAGGTATGTGTTCGACGTGATGATACAGGTAGTCACCATAGTGAGTGAGTGAGTTTGGTTTTACGCCGCTTTTAGCAATATTCCAGCAATATCATGGCGGGGGACACCAGAAATGGGCTTCACACATTGTACCCATGTCGGGATTCGAACCCGGGTCTTCGGCGTGACGAGCGAACGCTTTAACCACTAGGCTACCCGACCGCTCCGTAGTCACCATAAGGAATATCACACGTGAATAACACACTTGTAAATGTATTTCTTTTACATGAACAAACCCTACGGTAAAACCCTTGACGAACACTTTCAGGTACATACGTGGATACTGGTAGAGACGACGCCATCGGTGATTCGGTGAAGTTACATGTATATACAGATAGTGGTAGATAGAGGTAAATTCATCCAGAGGTAAATATATATAGCAGAGACAGGTACAACTATATATATGTATGGATCGATAAAGAAAGAGTAGACGCAGGCACGGGTAGATATAGATAGATTTTGTTTGTTTATTGTTTAACGCCGCGCTCAGCAATATTTCATCTATATGACGGCGGTCTGTAAATAATTGAGTCTGGACCAGACAATCCAGTAATTGACATCATGAGCATCGATCTACGCAACTGGAATACGATGACACGCATGAACCAAGTCAGCGAGTTTGACCCCCCCGATCCCGTTAGTCGAATACGGTTATACACACCAGCAGCACTAAAGGTAGATACAGATAGAGGTGAGGTGAGGTGAAATTGGGTTTAACGTCGCGTCCAAGATACAATGCCGCAGTTTAACATGAATACCCCACCCAGACACAGTATACTGACTCCGAGCAGACCAGTCCTTGTTTTAGCCCCCTAATGCCGAGCGCCAGACAGGGTAACAACAAATACCATCTTTTAACGTCTTTTGGTATGACGCGGACGGGGATCGAACCCCGGACCTTCCGCTCTCCGGGCGGACGCTCTACCACAAGACCACGGAGGCGGCAGATACAGACAGAATAGATGCAGGTACAACTAGATACATGTCCATATTTATGGAGTTAAATATAGATATAGGTGGAGATGAAGGTGGGGAAAGAGTGAAGCTAGCAGTGGCTAAACGGGTAGAGCAGACAGAGGTACATATATATTCAGAGGAGACACAGGAGAAGGTATAGGAAATAGGTGTTCGTACATTTGCAATTTCTTAGTTTTGCTATCCAGATTTGCTTAAATATTCTTAAGCTCTTTTAAGTAACACCATTAAGACACACCCTGATACACCCATGCGTAGTCAAGGCCTTAACATTATGACATAAGAAGGGTGATTTTGACGATTTGGATATTTTGTGTCAAATACAGACAGAATATATATAACATATGGTAATGGCTAGGTAAAGGTACAAATATCTGGTTATGGCTAGTTACAGATACAAATGTCTGGTTATGGCTAGTTACAGGTACAAATATATGGTTATGGCTAGTAACAGGTACAAATATATGGTAATGCCTAGTTTCAGGTACAAATATCTGGTTATGGCTAGTTACAGGTACAAATATCTGGTTATGGCTAGTTACAGGTACAAATATCTGGTTATGGCTAGTTACAACTACACATATGTGGTTATGGCTAGTTACAGGTACAAATATATGGTTATGGCTAGTTACAAGTACATATATGTGGTTATGGCTAGTTACAGGTATATATATGTGGTTATGGCTGGTTACAATTACATATATCGGGTTATGGCTAGTTACAGGTACAAATATGTGGTTATGGCTAGTTACAGGTACAAATATCTGGTTATGGCTAGTTACAGGTACAAATATATTGTTATGGCTAGTTACCGGTACAAATATATGGTTATGGCTAGTTACAGGTACAAATATATAATTATGGCTAGTTACAGGTACAAATATATGGTTATGGCTAGTTACAGGTACATATATCTGGTTATGGCTACGTACAGGTACATGTTTATACACCATAACCAGCTGCTAGTAGGTATTCAGCATCGTCATAATTTTTCGCTATAATGTTCTCTATACATTCAACATGTCCAGGGCATTATTCACTGAGGACCTGGTCGTACCTGCTATCTTGTGCTGTCAGGAGGAAGTGTATGTACTGTTATTCCAGCGCGTTAACGTCGCACACCTGCCAAGACTGCAACAGCCGTTCTTTTAATCGCATGATACATGTATGTCTGCTTGAACGGAAGCGAGGAGCTTAACTATTATTTTAATAATTCATTCTTTGTAAATTTGCTTTTGAAATTGGCCTGTTTAATGAACTGAACTGAACTCCTGTCCCAACACCACGTGATACGTTTATACAATAAGGCAATGTGGCAAGGATGACGACGTGAATTAACAAGATACAAGCAACACGCATGAATCAGTGTCAGGGAAGTGATGTCACCTGGCGTGGACGACGCATAACGACCCTGATCATCAGATAGCAGGGTTGTGCTAAGTCCTGTGTGCTCTAAACCCGCAGTCGTTGCAGCAGGCACCCGTCATTAGCATTGACACACAGTAAACTACAACCTCATTAAACCAGACTGTTCATTCACGTTACTCGTCTATAACTGCGGGCGTGTCCTGAGTATAATGCTGTACAGAGCGTGCAACCTAACAGTATCGGATTGACGAGGTTACGCTGTATAACGCTATCGGAATAACGAGCTCCAAAAATTGTTTGGAATACAAAGGTTTCCCTGAAAACCACGAATAGGTTTCCACGAAATCAAAGATGAGATAAACAGGTTATCCGAAAAAATGATCGAGTTAAAGAGGTTTTCTTGTACTGTGTATTGTGTGTGACACTCCCGCCGTTGCGCACGAGTTTCTTTATATTTTCCGCTGTGAAACATTTCATTATTATATATTATTTTATATACCACAAAAATATGTCAAAACATATCTACATATAAACGCCTATTTTGTACTTTCAATTTTAAAGAATTAAAATGTTTGTCAAAGTTTATCAGCAAAATATTCAACAAGTTACAAACTCACAAATTATATTATCCATTCTTATGTTTGCAAATTAATAATAATTTTCTACGAGGTCTACCTCCATAACATAGTGGAATTAATAAATATCTCTGTTTAGCATGCTGGGATCGACGGGTCCCATTAACGAGGCTCCTAATATAAGATGACATTTGCTTGCATTTATTGTACGTGGTACCACAGTAACAAACGGAGAAGACGGCGGTTAGTGATGCACCTGTGTCCAATCCTTTTGTCTTTTTGGACATTAAAAAATGTGTAAATAAAAAAGTAACAGACACAAGTATTATCCAGGCTTCCCCTCAACGAAGACTTCGTGGATAAACATGTCTCCTCTATATCCCGATATTCGAAATATGAAGGGATACTATATCAAATAAATGTAATATATTAATAAGAATTTACGGATTTACTCTTTAAAGCATTTATATCATTTACCCAATACCACTACACAAGCTTTATCAAAATAAAACACAAACTGACGACATAATGATGAAATATTATTTTCTCACTATGGTCCTAACGGTCTTATTCAAACTGAATGCTAATGGTTTAAAAGTCTGAGAGACAGACATATAGCCTACCTGACGGCAGGTGTCGCCCGGATCCTAGTCGAACTGCCAGGAGTTTCCATATGACACTGGTTATAAACATATGTGCAAGGGAACATTGTAAATGACTGCAAATTGAGGCCAATATCCATAAAAGCTGATCGTACTAATCAATGGCGAGCTAATAGAATGTATCTGATGTATGTTATTAAGTTCCTTTGATAAAGTATGCCATTTCACAATGACAGCTTTGTATTACTGTTGTATGGATTGGAGTCCGTAAGGTGTTGACGGGAGGGCGCTTTGAATATCAGCGTTATGGCGCGTATGATCAATACTAGCATCAAGTGGAGTTAGGTACAGGATCATTCTGTAACACAATGCACTATCGAGGATAATACTCTAACATGCAATGAAATAAAATAATAGCTGACATTTGCGAAACCTCAGGCGACTGTTAGCCAGGTGATCTAACGTGTGGTAGTCGTAATGCATAATTACGTCCCTTAGTCGTTCCTGGATATGCTGGTCGTAGGGTTGATAAGGAGGCAAAGGCGTCAGGGGTTCAACACCAAAGTGGTAGAGGTGTACGACCTGTGTCACTTTGATCCCTCATTATGAGGTAAGGGTGGGTAGCATAGTGGTTACAGCGCTAGCCTGTCAGACATTGGATTTATAGGCAGTACCTATACATAAGGAATAAACTCGTGGTCGCTGTTTATCGCACAATAAAACACCACAGGGAGAATAAACCACTCGAGGCTGCGCCCCTCATCGTTTATTCTCCCTGCAGTATTTTATTGTACGACAAACAACTCCCACTCGTCGTTCTTTTATTATATAAGATATGAATATTATGTACAACAAGGATGTTAATAAATCTCTCTTATCAATCACACTTTCTTAAATATAAGACAGCTACGCGATATATCGCAAAGAACAGAAGCTATGTAACAACGTGGTATCTGAGTAGCATGTAGCTGTGTAACGACGTGGTAGTTGAGTAGCTTATAGCTGTGTAACAACGTGGTAGTTGTGTAGCTTATAGCTGTGTCACAACGTGGTAGTTGTGTATCTTAAAGCTGTGTAACAACGTGGTTGTTGTGTAGCTTATAGCTGTGTAACAACGTGGTAGTTGTGTAGCTTATAGCTGTGTAACAACGTGGTAGTTGTGTAGCTTATAGCTGTGTAACAACGTGGTAGCTGTGTATCTTAAAGCTGTGTAACAACGTG